CCTGGCAAGCGCCCGCGCCCTATAGCAAAAACCTCTCCAAAAAAAAAAAAAAAAAGAAAGAAAAAGACCTGAAGATAGAAGGGTGTGATCCAACAGCAGCCTCTAGGATTAGAAGAGGTGAGGGAAAATTTCTCTCCTGGTGCCTCTAGATGGAACACAGTTCTGCTGGCAACCTGATTTTAGCCCTCTGAGACTCATTTTGGACTTCTGGTCACCAGAACTGTAGCATAATCAACTCATGTTGTTCTAAGTCTATGACAATTTGTCACAGCAACAATTGGAAACTAATAACCACCCATTTATCTTTTCTGAAGAAACCACTCAAGGAATTACACCAGTCAAAAAGAAAATTAAATCAGAACAAAGATCTTAAAACAGATTGGTATGAGTCATAAAATGTGTGGTCAATTCTAATGGCTAATGATAATGTGATTATAAACTCTAAGTTAATGTTATTAAAAAAGAAAAAGCTCAAAAAGAGCTTGACAAAGCTCAGAACCTGGGAGTGGGAGAGTGAAGCAAGCAAGTAAAAACATACGCATCTGGATGAAGATGGAATGGAGGAAGGAGGAATAGGGCTAGACTAAAAAGTAAAATGATGGAAGAGGTATAGTTTTTGGTATGTTGATAAAGAACATAGATTTAAACATTACTGTTAAAATATAAAGTTAGCAACAAACAAAGAGGGTAGGAAGTAAAAAGGAAATAAATTTTTACAAATAAATTTATTTATCATTCTTTTTTTTTTTGGAGAGATTTTCACTATAGGGCGTGTGCGCTCGCCAGACAGACAGAGAGAGACATTAGAAACAGAAAGCGAGAAATCACCCCCCAGGGGGGTTGGTCACGCCACAATCCCTTCTCCTCCATTCTCCTCTCGGGATCTTGGGCACACATGCACACGCGCCTGGCGTGAGTTTTAAGCTACCGGGTCCAGGACACGAACCGCGGTCAACTACGTGGGAGTCCAGCGACATAGCCATTACGCTAACTGCTGGTTCCCATCATTTTTCTTTTTTTGGAGAGGTTTTTGCTATAGGTGTGTGCGCTCTCCAGAAGGACAGAGAGACAGAAAGTATGAAATCACCCCCCATGGGGAATGGCCACACCACAATCTCTTCTCCTCTTGAGATCTTGGGCACACGCACACACACACACATGCCCGGCATGAGTTTAAGCCACTGAGACCAGGATTTGAACCATGGTCAACTACATAGGAGTCCAGTGACATAGCTATTATTCCACCTGTTGGTTTCCATTATCATTATTCTTCAATTTTGACCAAAGAGAGACAGGGAGAGAAAGGGAGAATGAGAAAGCAAGCCACCAGGTCCAGGACCTGAACCACGGTTGGTCATCCAGCACCTCAATCACCATGACACCTGCCAGCCCCCAGGAATAAAATTTTTAATCCCAGTAATTATTTAGGAAGCAAGGAGAATGAGGAGGAAAAATAACTAATTAAACAAAAGGGATAAGTAAAAAAAGGGAAAGTATAAGAGATACAGTATAATAAATATCATTATATCTGTGTACAATAATTAATATATAACATAATAAAGAATAATAGAATGAAAGAAGGATGTATTCAATATTCATTTAACAAGCATTTTTGAGCATTTTTTGTGTGCTAGGGACTATTCTAAGTAGCAAGCATTGAACAAGACATACAGAGTCTGGCTTTCAGAGAAAAAACACATAATTGTGATAAATGCTATGCAGAGAAGTCAAGCTATAATAAAACAAAACTGATGGGATGACTGCATAAGATTAAGTTGTCATGGAAAATTACTCTAAAGAGGTGAAATTTAAGTTGAGATCCAAATAATAACAAAGAGGCAGCCAAAGATCAGAATGAATTCACTGCCATCAAAGGGACTGGCTAGCACCAAGTCCAAATATATTAGTCATCACAATAAGTAAGGATGGTTTCAATGGCTCTGTTTACACACAAAAACTATACATGATTAGAGTACAAAATAATGCAACCAATATTTGTAAGAAATTCACCTAAAACAAATGACAAAGGATAAAAAAAAAGAAAGAAAATATACATCAGCAAATTATAAAAAAATGCTAGAGTTAGTAATATAGAAAAGAATTTTAGGACAAAACATTAAACAATTAAATAAGATTTTACAGTAAAAAATGTACACTCTTCCAAGAAGATTTAACAGCAATGAATATTTATACATTTAAAATATAGCTTCAAAATACATAAACAATGCTCAACTTACAAGAAATGCAAATATTCAAAATCACAGGAAATATTTGACATGTTTTTGACAGATGGAGAGAAACCAAAGACAAAAAATATCTAGAATTTTTAAATTGAATAGCAAATTATATTTTTAAATATCCAAAGTATGGATAAGCCATAGAGGAAATTAAATAAATTTCAAAAGATGGAAATTACACAGACCACATTCTCTGGCCATAATATAACCAAAATTAAAACATATAACACAAAGAAAATTTAAAACACTCTTCTAATGAACTCCTCTTATGTTAAAATGTAAATAGAAGTTGAGCAGGCTATTTAGAAATGAAACACAACGGCAACATTACAGATCAAAATATGTAGAGTATGGCCACAGTGGTATGTAAAGGAAAATGTGACCTTAGTTGTATTTACTTATGAAATCACAAAGACTTAACATATTTTAAATAAGTATTTAACTCTTTTCTTTTTTGAGAGAGATTTTTGGTATAGGGCACATGCACTATCCGGAGAGACAGAGAGACAGAAAGTGAGAAATCCCCCCAGAGGCAATTGTCACACTGCAGTCCCTTCTCTTGGGTTTTGGGTAGGCACGCATATGTATCTGGCATGAGTTTTAAGTTACCTGGTCCAGGGTTCAAACCATGCTCGACTACATGGGAGTCCAACGACATAACCATTACGCCATAACCATTACGCCATCTGCTGGTCCCAAATAAGTATTTAATTCTTAGGATGGGTAAGTTACTCATAAATAACAGATAACCTCAGAAGTCTTACAGAAAAGAATTTCACATTAAAATGTCAAAATAAGATATCAAAACATTAGTTAAAAGATGAGCACCAAACTGGGAAAAAACATCTGCAAACACCAGCAGACAAAAGGTCTGATGACAAACCAGTGAGAAAGACATTATGGAAAAACAGTCTAAGGATAAGCGTAATAATGTCCAATAGAAGAAATGGCCAAGGACCACCTAAAAAGATGTTCAAATCCTGTACTAATCGGATACATGAATTAACTCATTCCTTCAATAAATACTTCTTGAGTAATATTCTAGCTATTAAGTAACAGTCATTACCTTCATGATGTAGTTTACTTGGACTAGGGGATGATGATATGCAAGGTAAGGCATGTTTATTATTGCTGTACACAGGCATATACATGAACACCAAAGCCTTCTCACTTATTAATTGAACAAACATGAGTGCCAGGATACAGTGTCAAAAAAGTATAATGGGACACAAGGAGGTCTACACTTCACACACACTAGGTAGATAATAGTAACTATTGATGAGGATATGGAGAAACTGGAATCCTCATATATTGTTGGTGGGAATGTAAAAATTGTACAGACACATTGAAAAACAGTTTTTTGCGGGGGGCTGGCAAGTGGCATGGTGGTTAAGGGTGCTGAACTCCTACATGGCCGACTGCGGTTCAAATCCTGGACCTGGCAGCTTCCTTTCTCACTTTCTCTGTGGTTAAAAAAATAATAATGATAAATAAACTTGAATAAACTAATTCTTTAAAAAAAAAAAAAAAAGAAAGAAAGAAAGAGAAAGAAAAACAGTTTAGCCATTCTTCAAAAGGTTGAACATAAAGGGACCATAATGCCCAGTAGTTTCACTTCTAGGTATGCACCCAAGAGAAATGAAAACAAATATTCAAACGAAAACTTGTTTACCGATGTTCATAGCAGCAGTATTCAAAATGGCCAAAAGGTAGGGAAAAGAAACCCCAAATGTCCATCAACTGAAGAATGGATGAAGTGTGGCAGAGTCATGCAATGAAATACCACTCAGCAATCAAAAGAAATAAAGCACTGATACATACCACAACACTGACAAATCCTGAAAACAGTATGCCAAAGAGGCCAATTATAAAACACTATATCGTGTATGATTCCATTTATACAGAAAGCCCAGAACAGACAAGTCGAGAGCTCTGCAGTTGCCTAGGACTGAAGGACTCGTGAGAATGGTGGAGGCGGGTACTGCTTAAAGGTACAAAGTTTCTTTGGGGATGATGAAAATGTCCTAAAGTTCCCTTGAGGTGGTGGTTGCACAACTCTGTGAATACACTAAAACCCACTGACCTGTGCATGTTAAATGTGTGAGGACTAAAAGCTCTGCAAGGGCTGCGACCATGTCTTCCAATTTTTAGCATACTGCTTAGCAGAGTAGCTGGTACTTGATGAATGAATCAGTAAATGAAAAGAATGGCAAAAAGAAAGGAAGTGGGGAAAGGCTTTAGGATGCTGGATAATAAGGAATCTTTTGTAAAGATTATGATTTTGAACTTACCCTTTCACTTTTCACAGAACCAGTGACATCGTCGTCATTCAGGTGGCGTTTGAACTTGGGAGGCATTATTTTTCACTCGCGATGTACTTCTCTGCTTCTCCGCAGAATAAATATTCACCACCTTAAAGAGAAAATAAATCTCATCGGATTTGACTTCTGAGGATGAGCTAAAGTACTCACAGCAGTGCACAAAGTCCAGGATACTGGGGCCTCCCTCACTTTCTGACTTCAACTACTCCCCTCTCACTTGCTCCACTCCAGTGACCTAGGAAAGAGAACCCAACCATGTGAGTCCCCACACAAGAGAAACAGGTCAAACCACGAGAAAGTAGATGCAACTTTCCTAATGGAACAGTAGAGGAAATGAATGACTTAAGGTTTCATAAAATGCAAGAGCAGTTAGTACAGAAAAGGGGAAAATAGAAAGTGGTTCACTCAAAAGGACACATTAAATGCTTCATGATTTTAACATGGAGTCAGAAGACAGCCGTATACTTCTAGTTCTCTCACTTTTAGTTGGTTGCTTTAGCAATGACTCAGGTTTCTCATCTGTACAATAGTGATTTGTAGGCTTCTCCATGGACTTGGAATGGTTATAGTAATAGATTTGCAAACCTTCTGCAAACAACAATGTCCTACTGGTGATCCATGAAAAGAAGTAAGTTTGGTTAATAAGAGTGACTGTGATTTACTTTTTTTTCTTTCATTTGCCAGAAGGTGTGTGTGCTCACCAGAGACAGAGAAAAAAACACCCATGGGGTATAGTCATGGTATAATCCCTCCTCAGTTTCTTCATCCTGTGGGGATTTGGGGCACACATGCACACACTCCCAGAGTTTCTCAAGCCGTAGAGTCCAGGACTTGAACCATACTTACTGTTACCACATGGGTTCTAGCTCCCTTAACCACTAGGCCATAGGCCCAGCCCAATATTGTGATATATAATAATATGGAAATGTGTGCAGTCATCCCTCTTTCCTAATACACAATGGAACTCCTGAAATCTCCAGATGATAAAAGTATCTTTTCTACACTAATGGAATGTATGGTGGCTGGCAGCTCCTAGCAAGCTTCATAATGGGGCTGAGCACAGGAAAGATCAAGGAATGACCAGAGGACTGGAACCTGTCAGTCTCACCCCCAGCTTCCTGGGATGGGGAGAGGGCTGAAACTTGTGTTGCTCACCAATGATGTAATCACTCATGTCTACTAGCTAGGCCTCCACGAAACCCCAAAACGACAGGGTTGGGTGAGCCACGGGCTAAACATGTGGAGGTTCCTGGAGAATATGTGCTCCTTCTCCCATACCTTGTCCTACGCTTCTCTTCCATTCGGCTGTTCACCCCTAATCTTTGCAACATACTTTATAATAAACTGGTAAGTATAAGTAAAGTGTTTCCCTAAGTCCTGTGAGCCAGTTTAGCAAATGAACCGAACCCATGGAGAGAATCATGGGTTCCATTACAGCACAAGTTAAACAACCTCAGGCTTGAGACTGGCATCTGACACAGGGAGCAGACTTATAGGACTTAGAGTCCTCAACTTGCCGGATCTAATGGTATCTCCAGGTAGCCAGTGTGAGAACTGAACTAGAGGACACCTAGCTAGTGTCTGCTGGAGAATCTACTGTGGAATTACTTGCTTGCTGGTGCGGTCAATCTCACACATTTTGGGGCCATTAAAGTATTCTGTGCTATTGAGAGAGAATAGGAGAAATGGAGTTTCTTTTCTTATATGAAATCAACTGATTTAAACAAAGCCAATATTTTTTGTTGTTAGGTTTTTGTCGTAGGGTGTGGCACTTGCCAAAGAGAGTCAGAGAGAGGGAAAGCGAAAAATCACCCTCCCAGTGGAGTGAACATAATCCCTTCTCCTCCATTCTTCTCCTGGGATTTTGGGCACTTGTGCGTGCACACACACACGCTTGGCAAGATTTTCAAGCTGCCAGGTCTGGGAATCAAAATGCAGTCGGTCATCTGGAAGTCCAGCGCTTTAACCACCATGCCACCTGTTGGCCCCCACCTCACACCCTTTTATATGCTAGCATGCATTGAGATTTTTCTTGGAAAATGCTTGAGTATATAACATATTCAGAATTTTCTTGACAATACTTCAGACTGGATGATGGACAAATACCCCAAACCTCAGCTGAATTAAAATGTGCTATTTTTCTATGTGCTGAGGACATCAGGCACTCAGTGACACACATGCATTTTCTCTTTTACTCTGTATGACACTCCTTTCAAACAGGTTCTGAGAAACTAAGAGACAATGAAGGCTCTGCAAAGAAAAGTATCATCAACACTTATTGCACAGGCCAGCACATGGTATAGTGGTTAAGGTGCTAGACTCCCACATGGCCAACCATTGTTCAAGTCCTAGACCTGGCAACTTGAAAATCATGCCGGGCATGTGTGCATGCATGCCCAAAAATCCCAGGAGGAGATGGTGAGGAGGCATTGCAGCCATCACCCCAACCCCCTGGGGGGAAAGTGATTTCTCACTTTCCCTCTCACTGTCTCTCTCTTTCTGGCAAAAGCATGCACCCTATGGAGGAAAAAAAAATCTTAAAAAGAAAATACTAATTGTGTTTACTGAAACAGCAGAGATGTAGACTTGAGTTAGTTTTAATATTTCTTCAGTTAGTTGCCCTCTAGTCTACGCAATTCTGACTAGGAAGACACACTTTCCTATAACAACCCTGTAGCCCTTAGTAATCTTTTACAAGAAGCACCTCTACCATCTTTACATTAGGTATAGACATGTTTGTTTGGTAAATGTTACACACACACACACACACACACACAAAAGGGATAAACAAAGCCCAGAATTTAGTTTCTTAAACTAAATAAAAAATATTTTAAGTCACTTTCCTTTCAAAACAAGCCTATACACTTTCTCCCATAAGAAAAGCTTTGAAACCAGTAACTTAACCACTTAGAGCAAAACTTACAACTTGCTACCCAAGTAACAACTCTCTAGAGTTCATCCCACAATATTTGTCATGTACCTCTGGTACATTTCATTCTTCACATTTTGATTTCAGAATAATTCATTCATGCAGAAATGGTACAGAATGCATGGAAAAACAGCTGACAAAGCAAATAGCTGAACTTGAAATTTTAATTCTGTCTGTACTTTATATTTTAAACCCTACAAAGGTACTCTCCTCAATCTCTCAGAGCAAACAACACTTATATAAAACACCTTTAAGAGAGATACAGTAAAGCTACAATCTCAATAATGAGCAATCCCCATATTTGGGTCCCACAGTCCAGGGATCATACTCATGAAGATAAGAAACTCACGTCTGACAAACAGAAATGCCATCAGCAAAGCAGCAGGCAGAGTAATTAGCTACGTGTGATGGATGATTTTGGTATCAAACAACGGGAAGTAACAAATCATACATATTCTGCTTAAGATTTCTACAAAAAAAGATATGTGAATGCAGATGTTGGAGATAGGTCAGCACATAAATAGGGAGGCCTTCCTGATGTCTGTGCACAAGAAGGGAGCACCTACACAATCACACCATCAACATAGGCTTAATTGTTCTTGTATGCAGCAGTGCATTCTATATCTAATAGCTTTACGCATGATAAACTTCTAACCTGTTGTTTAATAAAATGTTGGTGTCTTTCATTGCTTTTCGGAAAAGTAAAAAAGAAAAAGGAAGCACTATGCATTTCTTTTCACAAAATTCCCGAATCTGGGCAGAGGTTTCCCTTTTTCGGCCTCCATCGCTGATTCCTCTTCCCAGTCTCTCAGCAGCGGTGAGTCTATGCAGTGTCCCCGACAGTCTTAGATGGGCACAGACTGGAGATGTCAAGTGCAACGACTCACACACCCCATTCTTGTCACTGCGAACGCAGCGGGGCTAGGGCGCCTTGCCCTGAGCCTTTAAATACAGCCAATTCCAACCCCAGAGCAGCAGCTCCGCTCAGCCCGCTCTCCACCTCGGACCAAGCCAGGTCCCCACGCCGGCTCCCGACTCCGGCCCTTCCCACCAGAAACACCGCGGTAGATAAACATCCCGGCCTGGCCCTCCCCCTTCGCCGCCGCGAGCCCTCGTCATCCCTTCGCAGGGGCCCCCCCGACCCCAGATGCACCAAATCTTCGTCTTCCCCCTAACCCTGAGGCCAATGGCCCAGCCGAGACGTTGGGGCCGGGGCGGGGGCGCTGGCCTCAGTCCTTCCTCCCACCAGCCCCTCCCGAGGGGACAGGCAGGCGCAGTACCTGAGGCTCCCCGGGAACTCCACTAGCCCTTCGGGCGGGCCGGGCCGAGCGGGTAGACCGGAGGAAGGCCGAGGAAGAAGCTGGGAGGGGGCGGCGGAGACGCAGAACCGCGTAGGTGCAGCCAGCTGCGCCGGCCCATCGAGCCCATCGACGCTCCGAGCGGCGCCTGGCGGAGGGGCGGGCTCAGGCGCACGATGGCCGAGGGAGTCGATCCGCCCCCCGCGCCTCACCCGGAAGCATTTTCGCCGGAGCAGTTTACATCTGGGTGACCCGGCTGCGCTGAGCTTGAGGGAGGATCTGGGAGGGAGGAGGAGGAGGGTGACGCGCAGAGCTAGTTTTCTGAGATAGGGAGATTGATGCATGTTCACAAAGTCAGACTTCCTCTTGAATATTAGGACTAGCTGATCCAGAGAAGGGATTTACTTAAACTTACAACTAGTTTAGATAGATTGGGGACGAGGACTTGCTGGTGTTCTTTTCCTTTGTAGAGACAAAGTCTATCCAGAAAAGTGATTGCTCTACAGAATATGTAAGGTCTAGACAACTAAAAGGAAAAGAGGGTGATTAACCAGTCTGCTTCCCTGTTCGACTTCCTGGCTGGTTATCACAAGACATTCTTCCTCAAGATAATGCCAGGCTCACATCTCCCTTAGGTGAGGCTGATAAATCCTTCTGAAGGGGTTACTGTCACTGCCATAAATTAGGCACCTTCTGATGGACTGTCACCCAATAAGGGTGTCCTTATCCTCGCCTCTGTAAAACCCTCCTTTGTGATCTTTATCCAATATAAACTCTTGCAGAACAATGTATATATATTGTAATCCCTTTACTAGTGTAAAAAATCTTCCCCTTTACAGGGTCATAGGACATATTTGTCATTTCCATCTGGCCATGCTGCTGATGGGTCTAACAGCATGCCCCAGGGCTTACTCTTATTTGATGCTAGCTTTGTGAAACATACAAACTCTTCTCCTTATAACTTTTGCTTTACAATTGTTCTTTTTGGCTTGACAAAAGCTGGATGTAGTTATCCAAAACCAATTGCAGTTTGTTTTTGTTTTACCTAACTGTTCCTTCCGTACACGATTTTATTATTTTACTCCTTTCCCCCTATCCATTTATTTACACTTTTTAAAAATTGGTATCTGTGGGTTCTTTGTTGATACAGGGTTTAATGGTCTGAGATGCTGGGCCAGGCACTTTCTAAAGACATGAAAATAAGAGAATGTGTTTTAAAACAAAAGGCAACATGAGAACAGGTGGAGGAAGGCTCCGTGGATGCTAAAGAAAAAGAGAGACTAGACACCCACTTACCAGGTGCTCTTATTTTGGGTGGTGGTGGATTTACTTCAAAATGCATTAATTGAAAGATGACTTGTCTATGGCAGTAGTGTTGAACTCTGGATCAGTCACCTGGAAAGCTTTTAAAACTGCTGATGCTCAGGCAATACTTAGATTCTGATTTAATTGCTCTAGGATGTTAACAAACGGTGAATCATAGAGTTGTTCATTCAAGTTTCTGAAAGCTTGGTGTTGAATACACTAGCTGTGAGGCTTCTACCCCAGAGCCAGGCTAACTTGGACTAAAATGATCCGTCTAAAATGAAAGCTTCTTATGGTTTCTATTTCTCTCTGAGAATGCTGGTGAGACTATCCCAGACTCCAGAGATAACCCAGATTTTTTTTCTTTTGCAGTTGACTTTGTATCTGCAGTTGACTTTGTATAATGGCTTGCTGTGGGGACTTTCTACACTGATGCCTTAGCCCATTAGTTGTTAAGCTAGAACCTTTAAGCCTCAGCCCTTAAGCATCAGCAACTTGAGGCTATATGATTACTGAGCTGAACAAATGTGTCATCACCTAACTTTTATGAGTAATTCATTGTTTTTATTAGTTTGCTATTTAACTGTATATAAAAACCACATCCATTATCCTGGGCCAGGATGTACATAACTCTTATTTCCCTTCACAATAGAGCACATGTGTGCACACAGGAAAAAGAGAGACAGAGACAGGAACACTCTGTGGTATTTTTTCACACTGTGACCCCTTTCTGCAGTCCTGCACGTTGGATTCTGGGCACTTGTGTGTGTCCGGCATGAAACCATAATTCTTTAGTTTGGTATGACTTTCTAGGCAAGGGATAATGCAAGTCCCATCCTTTGATTACCTGAACAAGGTCCTTTTGACTATCTCCAACATTTGTGAAAGTGTAGAACATGTCACTTGACAGTTACTGTGAATCAAATATACTAGTAGGACTGAATGGTTATAAATAGTGCTGAGCGTGGAGTCAGAACTTCAATCAGTTTGAGTTATTATTCCTCTATTTTCTTTTAAGTGAGCTCAGTTGTCCAGATGTTAGTCCTCTAATTTTATTACTTTCCTCTTTTTTAACATTAGACTTTCACTTGTTAGTAGGCATGGTGTCCTTCTAGGGACCTGTGTTTTTATACTCTTCCCAAACTAATGTCTGGGCTTCTGCTGGGGGAGGAGGGAGAAGGGAATCTGAGCATCTGACTGATTTTTTAAATCAACTTTTTGATCTTTCTTCCATGTGTAACCTACATTATGCTGTTTTGCGGCATTTATCTGCTGCTTCCAATACTTGAGCCTATGCGGATTTAGCTCTGTAACTGGGGCTTCTTCAGGGTCTCCTAAACATTTCTGTTTCTCAAGTCTGCTAGATAATTGTCACTTGATACATCTACTTTCCAACTTTGAGCATTTTGTTGCTATTGTCTCCTTTTCCCATAAGACAGAAAAAGAAGTACTAATTTGTAAGCATGCAAACAAATGTAAAACAAAATGAACAATGAACTATTCTTTTTCATCTGTTAATGACTGGGAAAGGAGTTAAACCAAAGATCTATAATCCGTTCTTTCCCTTCACAGGAGAGCTCCCTCCTAAGAAAGAAAGTAAGCATGCAATTATTTTGCTGGTAATCACAGACATCCTGGCAAACAGACTAATGGTATTTTCTATAAGGAGAGTCCAATTCCTTTAGCAAGATGTCCCTGGGATTGTTTACAGTAAACACATCAGGGATCTATGTGGATTTGAGGGTTATGATTCTAGAAAATGCTGTGTTAATTATGTAACTTAGCATAAAATGGAGATGTTTCATAACTGAGTTGGCTCCTTCTGTGTAAGTGGGGTGGCTGCCTACTGTATATAGAAACCACATCCATTATCCTGGGCCAGGATGTACATAAAGCAGGAAGAAAGAACTTGGGGAGTAACTTGAAGAGTCATGCACTTTGGCAAAGAGTCTGTACTTTGTGCTTTTTAGGTATTGATATCCTTGAAATTATTAGTAAATCTCGATACTGGGTGATCTCTGATTTGTGTGAGTCTGATTCAACAATTTGGTCCTGTGTGTTAGCTCAATGATGAGCTTCAAAAAGTTTGGTAATACAGTGTTGGGAATGTGTGGGGTGGGTATGGTGGTGGGGTTGGAGGAGCAAGCATTCTTATTTTTTTTTTTTTTTTTGGAGAGGTTTTTGCTATAGGGCGCGTGCGCTCGCCAGACAGAGAGAGAGACATAGAGACAGAAAGCGAGAAATAACCCCCAGGGGGGATGGTCACGCCGCAATCCCTTCTCCTCCATTCTCCTCTCGGGATCTTGGGCACGCACGCACACGCGCCCGGCGTGAGATTTAAGCCACCGGGTCCGGGACGCGAACTGCAGTCGACTACGTGGGAGTCCAGCGACATAGCCATTACGCTAACTGCTGGTTCCCCAAGGAGTAAGCATTCTTAAACACTGTTGGTGGGAGTGTAAATTGATGCAAATTTCTTTTTAAGTTAAAGATAGCAGTGCATGTCAAGAATTTTGTATGAAGTTTCTTTTGATATACCAATTCCATCTCTGAAATTTATCTCATAGATATATAATTTGGATAACAGTGTTCTATAAAAGTCGTCTTTATAGAATTTTTGTAATAGAAAGATAGAAAAAAACTTGAATTTCTTTTTTTTTTTTTTAAGAGGTTTTTTGCTATAGGGTGCGTGTACTCGCCAGACAGAGACAGAGAGATAGAAAGCGAGAAATCACCCCCCAAGGGGGATGGCCACACCGCAATCCCTTCTCCTCCATTCTCCTCTCGGGATCTTGGGCACGCAAGCACACGCGCCTGGCGTGAGGTTTAAACTACCTGCTCCAGGACGCGAACCGTGGTTGACTATGTGGGAGTCCAGTGACAGCCATTACGCTAACTGCTGGTCCTGAAAAAAACTTGAATTTCCCAGCAATAGGAAATTTCTGAAATAAGTTATACCCATTCAGTAGACAATAGACAGCCATTAAAATGAACTGGAGGGCTAGCCAGTGGCATTGTGGGTAAGGCAGCTGGATCCTACATGGCTGGCTGAGTTGTTCAAGTCCTGGACCTACAGGGTTAAAGAACACGCCAGCCCGTATGCGTGCATGCCCAAAATCCCCAGAAGGGAAAATGGGGGAAAGGGATTATTATGTGACCATTCCCCCCACCCCGGGGGGGTGCTTTCTCCCTCTTCTCTCTTTCCCTCTCTCTTTCTCTCCCTCCCTCACTCTCTCTCTCTCCCTCTCTCTCTCTGAGCATACACACCCCATAGCAAACTTAAAAGAAGAAGAAGAAAACCTGGATAGTTCTACTTGTGCTAACATGCAATACCTCTGACATGTCACTATAGGGTGAGAAAAACAAGGTACAAGACAGTAAATAAACTATTTCAATTGAATAGTGCATGTGCACGTGTGCACACACACACACACACACACACACACCCCACAATGATTAGGATTCTGGCATGGGAAGTGTTATATATTGAATTGTATCCTTTTAATTTGTTATATTGAAACCCTAATGCCCAATGTGACTGTATCTGAAAGTAGGGATTTTAGGGTGGTAATTGAAGTTATCCGATAAGGGGTAAGATATGGTACTAAATAGTGTAGTTCACGCGTGTCTACACACTTCTCTGTTGGATGACTATTAAGAATCTAGATATTCAGTCCCTGGGTGAAAAAAAAAAAGTGTCTTTTCTAAAGAAATAAAATGGTTTCAGAAGAAAGATGTCCATGTTTTGACAGTTGGCGGTTTTCACTGTGTAATGCACAACTCCTTTAATTAGCGTCTAGCCAATTGGCAGTTGGTAAACCTTGATAGTGTACAC